GAGGTTTTTTTGTTTTCTTTTCTTGTGTGTTTCCATACCATTTTTAGGATTGTTTGTTCTAGTTCTGTGAAAAATGCCATTGGAATTGTGATATGGATTGCATTGAATCTGTAGATGGCTTTGGGTAGTATGGACATTTTAACAATATTGGGTCTTCCAATCCACGAGCATGGAGTATCTATCCATTTACTTGTGTCTCCTTCAGTTTCTTTCATCAATGTCTTATAGTTTCAGTGTATAAGTCTTTCACCTCCTTGGTTAAATTTATTTCTAGGTATTTTACTCTTTTTGATGAAATTGTAAATGGGATTGTTTTCTTAATTTCTTTTTCTGGTGGTTCATTACTAGGGTATAGAAACACAACCAATTTTTGTGTAGTGATTTTGTATCCTGCAACTATCCTGAATTCGTTTATTAGTTCTAACAGTTTTTTGGTGGAGTGTTTAGGGTTTTTATATATATTATCCTGTCATCTGCAGATAGTGACAGTTTTACTTGTTCCTTTTCGATGTGGATGTCTTTTACTTCTTTTTCTTGCATAAATGCTCTGGCTAGGACTTCCAATACTATGTCGAATAAAAGTGGTAAGAGTGGGCATCCTGTAGATTTATAATCTTAAATTCAGGTAATTTATGCACTCCAACTCTCTTCTTCTACCACAATGTTATCTTGGCTATTCTAGGTCCTACTGCATTTTCACATAAATTTTAGAATCAGCTTATCAATTTGTATAAAAATGTCCCCTGGGATTACAGTGAATCTACTTCTGGGCTCTCTATTCTGTTTCATTGATCTATTTGTCTATACAGTCACCAAGACCACACTGTCTTGATTACTGTAGCTTTACAGTAGGTCTTGAAGTCAGGTAGCATCAGTCCTCCAACTTTGTTCTTCTTCTTCAATATTGTGTCGGCTATTCTGCGTCTTCTGCCTCTCCATACAAACTTTAGCATCAGTTTTTCCATATCCATAAGATTGCTTGCTGAGATTTTGATTAGGATTACACTGAATTTGCAGATCAAGTTGGGAAGAACTGACATCTTGACAATATTGAGACTTCCCATCCATCAACATGAAATATCTCTCCATTTATTTAGTTCTTCTTTGATTTCATTCATCAGAGATTTGTAGCTTTCCTCATATAGATCTTGTACATATTTTCTTACCTTTATACCTAAGTAATTCATTTCAGGGGGTATTAATGTAAATAATATTGGGTTTTTCATTTCAAAACACAGTATCTTTGTTGATATATAGGAAAGCAATTGACATTTGTATATTAATCTTGTATCCTGCAACCTTGGTATATTGCTTATTAGTTCTAGGAGTTTTTTTGTCAATTCTTTTGGATTTTTTACATAGGCAATCATGTCCTCTATGAACGAGGACAGTTTTTATTTCTTCCTTCCAATCTGTATACCTTTTATTTCCTTTTCTTGCCTTATTGCATTAGCAAAGAATTCCAGTACAATATTAAAAATGAGTTGTCAGAGTTGGGAAATCCTCGCCTTGTGCCTGATCTTAGTGGGAAAGTTTCGAGTTTCTCACCATTAAATGTAATATTAGCTGTAGGTTTTTTGTAGATAGTCTTTATCAAGTTGAGGAGGTTCTCTTGTATTCATAGTTTACTGAAAGGTTTTTTTTTTTTTTTATCATGAATGGGTATTGGATCTTCTCAAATGCTTTCCCTGCATCTATTGATATGATCATGTGATTTTTCTTTTTTAGTTTGTTGATGTAATGGATTACATTAAATGATTTTCAAATGTTGAACCAGCCTTGTACACCTGGGATAAATCCCACTTTATATACTTTTTGGATTCAAGTTGCTAACATTTTGTTAAGGATTTTCGTATGTATGTTCCTGAGAGATATTGGTGTGTGGTTTTCTTCTCTTGAAATGTCTTTGTCTGGTTTTGGTATTAGGGCAATGCTGGCCTCGTAGAATGAGTTAGGAAGCCTTCCTTGTGCTTCTATCCTCTGAAAGACATCATGGAGACTTGGTATAATTTCTTCTTTAAATGTTTGGTAGAGTTTACCCATAAATGCAGCTGGGCCTGGTGCTTTCTGTTTTGAAAGCTTATTAATTATTTATTCAATTTCCTTAATTAATATAGGCCCATTCAGATTATGTATTTCTTCTTGTGTGAGTTTTGGCAGATACTGTCTTTCAAGGAATCAGTCCATTTATCTAGGTTATCAAATTTATGGGCATAGTTGTTCACAGCAATGAATCTATAGATCAGTTTGGGGAGAGCTGTCATCTTAACATTATTGAGTTTTCCAAGCCCATTACATTGGAAAATTCTCCATTTATTTAGATCTTTAGAAATTCTCTTAACAATGTTTTGTACTTTTCATTTTAGAAATCTTGCACATCTTTCTTAAATTTATTGTTAAGTATTTGATGCTTTTAATACCATTGTAAATAGTATTTCAAAATTGCATTTTTCAATTATTTGTGGCTAGCATATGGAATTAAAATTGATTTTTGTATTTTGACCTTGTATCCTTCGATCTTGTAGCAGCTTCTGTTTGTCTATCTTTTGTTAGTTTCCTTTATTTTTAAAGGATCCTTTCTGCTGGATATAGAATTCTTAGTTCACAGGCTTTTTTCTTTCAGTACTTTAAAGATATTATTCCATTATCTTTTAGCTTCCATTATTTCTGATGTGAAATAATATAAAATTCTTAAATATGTTCTCCTGACTGTAAGTGTCCTTTTTCTCTGGCTACTTTTAAGATTTATCTGTGGTTTTCAGCAGTTTGACTCTGGTCTACTCAAATACAGTCCTTTTTGTATTTATCCTGACTAGATTTCTGCTGTTTCTTGGATCTGTAAGTTAATATCTTTCATCAATTTTAGAAAAAATTCAGTTATTATTTTTTCAAATATTTTTCTATCTACCCTTCATCCTCTGGGACCCCATTTCACAAATGTTAAACATATGATATCATTCCACATGTCTGGGATTATCTTCTTTTTTCATTCTATTTTTTATTTTTACACTTCAGTTTGGATAATTTTTATTCACCACTTTATATTATTATAATCTGAGTTAAGTAATCTTGTTTTCTATTTTGTCCATTCTATTAATCCCATCCAATGATCTTTTCATTGAAGATATTGTATTTTCCAGTTCCACAGTTTTTATTTGGTTCTTATAGTTTCCATTTATTTGCTGAGATTCTTCCATTTGTTCACCCACTCTGTTCTTTTCTGGTAAACCCTTCCCTATATTTATAATAGCAGTTTTAAAGTCCTTGTCTGCTAATTCCAACATCAGGGTCATCCGTAGGTCAGCTACTATAGACCATTTTGCCGCTTGCTTATATGTCATATTCATCTGCTTCTTCATATGTTATTACACTTTCGTTTTATACTGCACATTGAAGACAATACCTTTTAGAGACTCTGGATTAGGTTGTTTTACTCTAACGAGTGTTGAGTTTTGTTCTGGTGGTTTCTCTAAAGGCTTTTTTTTAGGCTTTGTTAGGGTGGGCCTATCCTGTGGTATAGTCCTTGATCATGAGATATTGTCCTTTTGACTCACTTTGGGTTTTAGTGGAAAGCCTGAGATATTTATCAAGTCTAATTGCTGTAATTTGAAAACCAAACTCTGTCTCCCCAACACTTGGCAGCAGCTGAAATCTGTGCTCAGCATTTTAGCTTCCCCATTGCTGCTTTTCCTGGGATTCTTTGAAGTCAGACCCTGTGTGTGTGCAGGTTAGGGGAGCCAAGGCTCTGAGGGACTTTGTATGCAGATTTCAGAGCTCCCTGCTCTGTGGCTCCCTCCTTTCTAGGATGTTCAGCCTTAACTTCCAGCCACTTTGGCAGCCTTTAACTCTGACCTTTATGTCCTCATCCCATTGAAACTTTTTGTTTCAGTTCTAACCTCCTATGTGCCTCATGAACTGAGAAGCGCCTTCAGGTGAAAAGCTGGATAAATTTGGAGTTCACCTAGTTTGCTTTCTTTCTTTCAAGAATTGTGCCCCCTCCAGTTTCTGCTTGTTTTTGTTTGCATTCCAGGCCTTCAAAGAATGGTTTTAAAATATTTTTTCTCCCAGAGTTAATAAATGTTACTGGCAGGAGAGTCAGATACAAGCTCTTCTATCATTCCAGGAACCAGAACTCCCTCCTCATGCAAATTTTCATCATTCCTTTTTAGTCTAGTGCAAGTTAAACTCTGCTAAGACTCTGCTAACCCTGGAATAAGCCTGAAATATGAAAACCATGGCAATTTAGAGATGATGGCAGAGTTAGACACCGCTGTTCACTAAATCCTGGCTAGTTGTTTAATAATGTTTATTTTATTTTTAAAAATCTCTTAACCTAAGGCTAGCATTTGACCTTCAAACCACCTGCTGGTTTGAGGCTGTCCAGGACCTCCCCATCCATCTCCTTTATTGTCATAAGAAGAAACAGGTCCAGAGATGTTGAATAACTTGCTCTGGCAGAGACTAATTAAATGCTCGTTGAAACTGTTCCCAGTCCCCTTTTATCTGGGTGGGGTTCTGTGACTAGTTCTTGCCACATTTTGTCTCTCTCCCTCCTGTCTATACCAGGGAGATGATGCCAGAGTAATCTTTTTTTTTCTTTTCTTTTCACCACAGTAATTTTAAAGACACATTATTGATGATGGTAGGGCCATAAAAATGGAAGGAACTTGGGTCTCTAAATGACTACATGGAGTGGAACTTCCCTGCTGAGCAATATTTGACAGTGATATGGGCAAGAAAGTAATCTTTGTGTTAAGTTACCAAGATTTTGGAATTTTTAATAGCAGTTGTTGCTTCTTATGCCAATAAATTTGCAAGGGTAATACTCTACTTAGCGGTAAAGATATGACTAGAAACTAGTCCCCTATTTCCTTTGATGGTTAGCAAATATAATTCCATTCATATGTAACATATAGTTGTTATACTAGTACACTAGTTTACAAAAAAATTTATAACAATTAAGGGGATGCCCTTTAATGAATAGAAAAACAGTGACTTACCTAGAGAGCGAATGCCTTTTTGTTCAAGAAAGCTGTTTAAAATATTTGTATTCAGGTTTAATATAAATCCCAGTTCTGGCGTAAGTTTCCAGAAGCCATCCTTTGAAGTTAAGAAAACAAATTTAAGCCACATTATTGAAATTTCATTACACAAAAAGTTATGTGATGAATGTTTCCAATTATTTCAATTCAGCTTAATAAGACAGTAAAAAAATTTTATTACTGTAAAATCAAAGTTCTTCATATACTAGTGACACAGTATTGTTGGGAATTCCATAAAGACTATGGACACTAAGTATCTGGTGCCATTTATAAAAAGTCTGAAAAGTGGCTCATGTGTAGAGATTTTTAAAAAAGGTATATATATTTTTTCTTCTAGCAATGCTTTGAAGCAATGTTTCTCAAACTTTTGAATAGCATGATTCCTTTTGTTCAACATTAAAAATGTGCCCTTATGATATCTGAAACATGAAAATGACAATTTTTTACTCAATATAAAATTATGTTGAACATGCTCTTTAAAACTACCTTCCTTGTACTCATTGTCCCTTGCCCACCCCAGCTAAGAACCACTGCTTTTAAGGTTGATCTTTATCTCATGCTTATGAGAGTGTGGTACGCCTGAAAAATGAGGATCCTGACCTCGAAGTAAATAGACTCTAGGTCCCAGGGGAATTGATACAGGGAGCAGAAAGGAGGGTGATGTCATAGGCAGGTGCAGAGGTTAAAGGACCTATGGCAATGATTGAAAAAACAACAGCAGTGAGAATATGTACCAACCAGTATTGAACTAGTACCATGAGCTGCCTTTTTATCTTTTCAGTTACCTCTTGTTGAGGTATTATTACTATACCCACTTTGTAGATAAGGACACTGAGGAACAGAAATATTAAGCAACTTGTCCAAAGTCACACAGCTAACAAGCAGCACAGTCAGGATTTAAGCCTCAACAGTCTGACTCCAGAGTCCAAGGTATCTGCTATACTGCTCCCGACACTGCTTTTATGTACATTCTTTCAGGTAACAGAAGCTGGGCAACTATTATTATCATGTTTAAACCTCAAAACTACTCTATGAGGCAGACACTATTATCACTCCCATTACATGGATGAGGAAACTGAGACTCAGAAAGGTTATCTGATTTCCACCTGTGGGGACCTGGAATTGGCCACCCCAAGATATGTCTCTTTGGCATCAGGATTATTTGAGGCTGATTGCTTTTGATAAACTGGGACAGGGAAGGAGGCTCTGAGGAATGGAACTTGCCCTTCCTTAGGACACATTTACATTTGTAAGGTAAATCTCTATCTGTAAAAGCTGCCTTCCTCTCTGTACCAGGAAGAAGAAAGGAGATGACCTTCTCTCTAAAAACTCTTAATCAATACCAAAGGCAATGACTTAAAATCTGCATTTTATTGTGCTAGTCTGGTAACCTCCTGTAACTGACTTCCCTCCCCCTCCCAACTTTGGCATTCCTTAAGGATTAAGCATCTTTCCTTAGGCTAGGAACTGATTGCTGCGCTCACCTGTGACCGCCCAGCTCTGGACACAGACTTGCCTCCTGCTACGCCCACCGAGATAGCAGACCATTACCTGCTGTGTCCATCAAGCACTGTGCCGACAGGGCAATCTTGTGACTATTGTGGGAGGGACGTTTCAATCACATGTGAAACACCCCGTTTGGGGGCTATATAACCACTCTGTGCACCCCACTTCTTCGGTGCCCTTTCTTCCTTCGGGAAGAAAGGCCCCGGGCCATGGTTCCTCATAAAGCTTTGTTTAATTTTCTCTTGCTATTCTGTCTCATGTGAATTTAATTCGTTCTCCGGCCAGACGAACCCCCATTTGGGGAGAGGAAATGTCCTCCTCCCCTACACACCAAATCACAAAGTGGTAGGGCTGGGACTCAAACTTAGTCTTATACTAAATCAAGTTGCTTTTGCACTTTACTAAACAACTTTACATCAAAACAAATAATTACAGATGTGAGACTGGGTCTTAGTACTAGTGCAGGAACTAAATTTATAGGGTGTTTATTAACTTCACAAATGGAATAAGAAGTTCTAACACAATCTTACATGTTGAGTAATATTCCCAGACCTTATGTCAAAATATTTAGAGTCTACTTACAGCACTTGTGCTTTACTTCACAATGGGAAATTTACAGGAATTGCAATTCATCAGTTCTCGAACCTGGACCTCTGACCCATTCAGGGATGCTAATTTTTAACTGAGGAATATTAACATTCACAAGTATGATATTCTGGCCCAACAGTGAAAAATAGATAGATAAATACCAGTCATCATCAAGAACACTTTTGTTCAACTGACTTTTTTTAAGCTGGATTTTCTCAATGAAGGAAGCAGCGTGTTCATTTACATTCTGGCAGAAGTCCCAGCTCAATGACCAGGTACTTTGAGTAGCAGTCTTCAAAATTATGAAGCTAAGTAGCCATAGACTTGAGAAATAAGACACATACCTCAGTTTGCAGACTGAAGAGTTCATTCCAGGGCACAAAACTCCTCTGGCTTCGTCTGCTGAATATTTTGGCCTTGTTTTCTTGTGCCAGAAACACTGCAGGAAAGTCACTTCTGTTTATTTTAGATTTTGCCATCTTTTTTAAAAACCTACTCGCCAGAACTCCCGAGGTTTCATCACTTTCTGTTTCAAAAGAACTTTCATGACTTGAAGTAGGCCAAGATTCACGTTGCAGAGAATCTGATGGTGCAGCTCTGGCAGAAACATTTGACGGAGAAGCCCCCAATTCATTGTGAGCAAGGTCAAATAGACCTCTTGGAAGCTTGGAACTGGCGCTCAAAGGAGCAGGGGTATTTTGTAAATGAATAGGAGAGGAATCAGAAAGATCGTGAAAGATTAATATAGGAGAAGAGGAAAAAGGACTCTGCTGCAGGGGAGGGTCCAACTCAAGGGAAATGCTAGCACGACGGCGGATCTGGTGCCTTGGATCAGTTTTAGGTAGATCAAACTGTTTGGAGCTAAACAAGGCACCTGAAAAAGCAGAACCAGCAAGGGATCCAAAAGTTAGGTTCTGGGAAGACAGTCTAGGAAGAGGACGCGACTCAAAGGAAACGTCAGTGCAAGTGCGAGTCTCAAGGCCTTGGTCATTCGGAGATGGACCAAGCTGTTTGGGACTAGCAAGAGAATCAGAGAGAGAGTTCTGAGGAGGTAAGGTGGGAGGACAGAGGGAAGTAAAATGAACAGGTGCAGCACGTGGCAAACAGATTGGGGGAGGGGCAGCAAAACTGCTGGAAACAGCCATTTTTTGTGAAACGCTTTTTGTAGACGTTGATTTAATTCTTGTTTGTTTAAATGAATCCATCTGACTTAAATCCAATGGCTTTTCCACACCTCCACATTTGAAGAGTGATAAAGGTTTTTCCGGTAGTGGGGAATCTAAGCAAACCTCTTCACAATCTTCAAAAACTTCCAGCTCAGATGATTTAAGTTTTCTTTTAGTCAAATGTTTATGTTGGAATTCTTCGATCCATTCAGAGAATGCTGAAAGAGGCTGCTTAGAAGGGAAAATTATAAGGTAAGAGAAAATACAGAATAAAATGAACAGTTAAGCAAACATACTTCCTAGTCATTGACTTCTCAATATTCAAGCAATTGCTTACTGCAGAGCATTGAGAAAAGGAGATATTTAAGATCATTTAAATTCGATGCCTTCACTTTATAGCTATGGAATCCAAGAGCTGGAGAGATTACCAGCAATAAATACATCAAAGATCTTAATCTTTCTTCTTAAAATCATGAAATTTTAAACACTCCTCATGTTACACAAGAGGAAACAGAGGACCATAGAAGTGACTTGCCCAAGATTTTATAATTAGCAGTATCATAGTGTGTAAATCAGCCCTAAAATAAGCTGATAGTTTGAAATAAATTATTCCAGTCTTTTATACTGCTTTATAGCAATATTTAAAAAATGAGAAAACTGAAAAAAATTTCAAAAGCTTTAAAGTAACTAAATGAATATATTTTTACACCAGGATATGAACAAAATGTAAAAAAAAGAGAATGAAAGATGCTGTTATTACTATTATTTGAATATAATTTAAAGAGTCTTCTTTAAAAAGTTGAAGGTAGGGGCCAGCCCTGTGGCCGACTGGTTAAGTTCGCACACTCCGTATTGGCGGCCCAGGGTTTTGCTGGTTTGGATCCTGGGCGTGGACGTGGCACCACTCATCAAGCCATGCTGAGGCGGCGTCCCACATGCCACAACTAGAAGGACCCACAACTAAAAATACACAACTATGTACCAGGGGTCTTTGGGGAGAAAAAGGAAAAATAAAATCTTTGGGAAAAAAAAAAGTTGCACGTAAATAAAATCCAGTTTTATATAAATTACAAGTCCTTGAGATATTTTGGAAATAGCCTCTATTTCTACCAATGTAAAGGAGCCATTTAAGAAAAGGAGTAGTCCTTTTCAAACTCAGTGAAGTTTCAAGTATACATTTAAATAATTAATATTGCAGAACATACGACAAGATATACATTTCAAAATAATATTTTAACATATGCTTATCTGGTGAAATTGCTCTGAATTAGATGAACAAACTGAAAAAGAGCAATAGTAATGGAGTAGACCTATCCAATAGCAAAGCGCTTTATAGAATGACGATAATTATAACAGACAGATCAACAGAACAGAAGAGGTGGTCCAGCAACAGATCCTAAAATATGTGGGAATTTAGTAGATGAAAAAGATGGCATTTCAAGTCAATCGGAGGAAAAGAAGACATTCAATAAATGGTGCTGGTAAAAGTAGCCACCTGGAAAAGAATAAAGTTGGTTCCATACTTCCTATCTTATACCAGTATAGATTCCAATTGGATGGAAATTTAAATGTGAACATGAAACCATAAAACTAGTTAAAGAAATAAGTCAGGGGAAATTTTGCAAAAGCATAATGTCTGAATAGGAAAGGTATTTCTAGGCATGATAAAAAAGACAAAACAATACAAAACGAAAAGAAGCAGCCCAAAGATTAAAAAATTTGGCTGCATTAAAAAATCTGCACGATAAAAAGATGATAAGCAACATCAAAACACAAACGGCAAACTGGGAAAATTTACATCAGAATTCATCAAATTATACACTTTAAATACGCAGTTTATTTATGTCAGTTATAACTAAGTAAATCTATTTTGAAAAATTTAATCAGCTCTAACCAAATTGCCTTCTCTAGGTCCTATCAATTCACACTCCCATCAGCAGCATGTGAGAAAGGAGGGTACTTTCCTTAACCCAGTGTGTTATTCAAATTTTGCTCTTTGCAAATCTTTGCAAATAGTTGAAAAATGTACTAGTGATATTTTAATTTTCCTTTCTTTCTTTCTCTATGAAGAGGTGCATGTTTTTGTATTCTTAAGAGCCCTACATATCTCCTTTCCTATGTATTAATTTAAGAAATCTTTGTCCAATCCTAATTCACTAAGATTTTCTTCTATGTTTTCTTCCAGATATTCTAGTTTCAGTTGTTACATTCAAATCCGTAATCCAGTCAATCTTTGCAGATGGTGTGAGCTAAGGGAAAAGGTTCCATTTTTTTCTTTCTTTATTTTCTTTTGGTGTGTGGCTATCCAATTGTTCCAGAACCATTTGTTGGAAAGATCATCCTTTCCCTCCTGAACTGCCGTGACACCTCTGTAGAAAATCAACTGACCCTATACGTGTGGATATATGTCTAGATTCTCTGTTCTGTTTCAATGGTTATAGGTCCCAATGGTGCATATGTCCATTTTAAACCAATACCACACTACAAATCTTATTAAGAAGGCTTGAAAACAGATAGTGTAAGGCCTCCAACCTTTTCCTCCTTTTCAAAGTTGTTTTGGCTAACCAAGATCCTTTACACTTAGATATAAAATTTAGGATCAGTATGTTAATTTCCAAAAAAAGAAACCTGCTGGGACTTCGATTTGGATTGAATTTAATCTACAGATCAATTTGAGGAGAATCGATATCTTAATAATACTGAATTGTTCAATCCAAGAACATTTATTTAGGTCTTCTTCAGTTGCAATTTTCTCAGCAATGTTTTGTACCTTTCAGTGTATGGATCTCACATATATTTTGTCACGTCTGATTCTACGTATTTCATGTTTTCTATTTTATTGTAAGTGGTATTGTTTTTTAAATTTCAATTTCTGATTGTTTGTTGCTAGTATACAGAAACACAATTGCTTTTTTTTGAGGAAGATTAGCCCTGAGCTCACATCTGCTGCCAATCCTCCTCTTTCTGCTGAGGAAGACTGGCCCTGAGCTAACATCCGTGCCCATCTTCCTCTACTTTATACGTGGGACGCCTAACAGCATGGCTTGCCAAGCAGTGCCATGTCCACACCTGGGATCCAAACCGGCGAACCCCGGGCCCCCGAAGTGGAACATGCGAACTTAACCGCTGTGCCACGGGGCTGGCTGCCAGTTGATTTCTTATATTGACCTTGTATCCTGCAACCTTGCTGAACTCAATTATTAGTTCCACTAGTCTTTTTATAGAATCCCTAAAATTTTCTACATAGAGAATTATAGCGTTTATGAATAAAGACAGCTTTCCTTCTTCCTTTCCAATATGTGTGCTTTTTACATCTTTTTCTTTCCTTATGTACCAGCTAGAACCTTCTACACAATACTGAACAGAAGTGGTGAGGTCAGACATTCTTTCCTTGTTCCCAGTCTTAGGGGAAAAGCATTCAGTATTTCACCATTAAATATGGCATTAACTGTAGGTTTTTCATAGGTGCCCTTTATTAGGTGAGGAATTACCCTTTCCTAGTTGGCTAAGACTTGTTTGTTTTTTTACCATCCTAACCATTTTTAAGCACATAGTTTGGTAGTGTTAACTATATTCACTTTGTTGTGCAACACATCTGTACAACTTTTTAGTCTTGCAGACCTGAAACTACGTACCCACTGAACACAATTCCTCCATTTCCCCCTCCCCCCAGGCCCTGGAAATCACCATTCTACTTTCTTTTCTACGGGTTTGACTACTTTAGATACCTCATGTAAGTGGATCATACAGTATTTGTCTTTTTGTGACTTGCTTATTTCACGTAGCATAATGTCCTTAGGTGGCTGGGAGTTTTTATCATAAGTGGTTCTTGAATTTTGTCAGTTTCTTTTTTGCACCTACTCAGATGCTCACATGGTTTTCTTTTTCGTCTGTTAATATGGTGAGTTACATTGATTTTTGCATGTTATACTAACATTGCTTTCCTGGCATAAACCACGTGTTCATATGTAGTATACTTTTTACAGTATAATACATATGAACATATACAGTATAATACATATGCTGGATTTAGTTTGCTATAATTTTTTAAGAATGTATGCTTGTGAGAAATATTAATCTAAAGGTTTTTGTAATGACATAATGGTATCAGGATAAGGCTGGCCTCTCAGAATGAGTTGCAAAATGTTCTCTCTTCCATTTTCTGGAATGGAAGAGTTTGTTTTGAATTGGTATTATTTAGTCCTTAAATGTTTGGTAAAATTCACCAGTGAACCATCTGGGCCCAGGGTTTTCTTTTGTAGGAAAGGTTTAAAATAAAAATTAAATTTCCTTCATATACAGTAATTTGAGCTTTCTATTTTTTTTTTAAATTTTGGTAGATTGTGCCTTTCAAGGAAACTTTCCATTTTATCTAAATGGTTAAATTTATTGGCATAAAAAGGCTCATAATACTTTCTTATTATCCTTATACTATTTTTCGGATCTGTAGTGATGTACCCTTTCTAATTCCTGACATTGGTAATTTGTGTCTACTTTTACTTGCTCAGCTGCGCTAGAGATTTATCAATTTCACTGACCTTCTCTTTGTTTTTTTTAAATTGATTTCTGCTCTTATTTTTATTACTTTCTATGGGAGGGAGAATTCTAAAGATGTCCTTCCAAGATTCCTGTTATCTGGTTATTCAATCAAACACTACTTAAGGTACTGCTGGGAAGGGCATTTACAGATTAAGATTACTAAACAGTTGTCTTTAAAACACGGACATTATTCTGGATTACCCAGTGGGCCCAATATAATCACCTAAGTCCTTAAAAGTAGAAGAGGAAAGCAAAAGAGAGATGAGGTAGAAGGGGAAGTCAGAGATTTGACATGTAAGAAGGACTTGAACTGCTACTGCTAGTTTCGAAGGTGGGAGGAGACCATCACCCAAGGAATTCAAGCAGCCTCTAGGAGCCAACAAGGAGATGGGCACCCTAGTCCCAAAACTGCCTGGACCTGAATTGTACTAAACTGTTCCGACATTAGCTTGAATTCATCTCCAGAGCCTTCAGAAAGAAATGCAGCCCAGAGGGCACCTTGATTTCAGCCCTGAGAAGCCCAGAGCAGAGAAACCACCTGAGCCCATCAGACTTCTCTACAGAACTGTGAGATAATAAATTAATGTTTTAAACTACTAAATCTGTGGCAATTTGTTGGCAACAATAGAAAATGAATAGATTTTCTTTATTCTGCTTACTTTGGATTTAATTTGATCATTTAAAATGGAAGC